AGACGGAACTCAACACCACTACAGACAACCCTTTGCTCGATGCGGACACGGACAAGATGTATCACGGCGGCAATTTCCAAGCTCAAGCTATCACGAACGCAATGGAAAAGACTCGTCTCTCCCTAGCGCTGCTCGGAAAGATGCAATTTGCTCAGACGGCCGAAGTGAGGAAAGGAGCCAAGAGGTCCGCATTGCACCCATAGCTGACCCTTCTTCTCTCATTGACATCAGCTCGTCGACCCGGCCAAAAATCGAGGTCTCCCAGCCAATCTCTCGGCGGGCGACGTATCCCTTGACTTTGGCTTCAAAGCTGTGGACATCGCTACCGCTGCTGTGTGCAGCGAATTGCAAGCCCTGGCAAGTCCGGTCGCTACCCACGTGCAGAGTGCAGAGCTTGGCAATCAGGCCTTGAACTCTCTCGCTCTCATTTCGGGACGTCAAACCGTTCGATCGATCGAGTGCCTTTCGCAGCTGTTTGCCTGGTCGCTCTACATGATCACGCAAGCTTTTGACCTGCGCGCGTTGCAGAGGGCTCATCTCGACGTGCTGCGCGACCATCTCAAGTCCAGCTTGAAGGCGTCCTTCGGGTTGTGGATCACAGATACCGACTTGAATACGCTCGTACCTCGCATATATGCGAAAGTAACTTTGCGAATGGACGAAGGCGCTCATCGGCCAATGCTTGAGCGCTTGGATGAGGCGTACCGCTCTGCGACTCAAGAGGTAAGAAATCAAAAAATCGCCCCAGACACGACGCAGCAGCTTCCGCTTACACGCAGTGACGGCGCGCACCACGCAGCTGGTGCAACATCTTGCTACTTCCCCCAGTGTGGCTAGCGGAAAAGCTCTACAAGCCTTGGTCGGTGCGTACGCTGCTGATTGAGGCAATGCGGCGCACGAGCTGACTCGAAACACTTCTATAGACTGGCGCGAATCCTCCGTTCATCAAATGGAAAAGGCCTACTACGCGCAGGTCCAGCAGGTATGTCCCCGCCTGCTACGTCCGCTGTCGCTGAGGGTGGCTAACGCTTAGGAGTTGTTGGCAGATGCACGAACAGCCTTATGGCTGTCACGCAAGCCCTCTGCTCTCTCCATTGACGCGCCGTATCTACGAATACATTCGCAAAGACCTGAATGTACCTGTGATGGGCAAGCAGTGCTTGTGAGTAACTCTGCCTGTTGCATGCCCTTTGCGCCATCACTGACTCTTGGCCTTCTTTATGCAGCTGGATGTATCAGGGCGAAGGAGGCAAGCTCGGCGAGTCAATGGGCAATCAAGCCTCTCGCGTGAGTGATGCGATTCGCTCCAGCGGCAATGCGGCGTGCTGACGAGCGTAGTGGATCTTTGGCTCTTGTCTCGTAGATCTACCGCGCCATTCGAAATGGCGACCTCTATCAACTCATTGCCGACGTGGCTCAGAAACTCGAATGAGGGTCGGAATGGATGCTTTGGAAGAAGTCGTGATCCATAGACTCTACGACGATTAGACCCACCTGGAATGATTCCGCTCAAATTCGGCACGTCTTGCATGGTATATTGCGACGTGCACCAGCACCCACGACGTCGTTGGAGGCTCGGCCTATTGTTATCATCATGTCTTGTGATGGCTTGCCATCGCGCGCGCCAAGTACTCCCGTACCTGCACATGAATGCTCTTTTCGAATGTCGATTCAGAAGCTTCCGCCCAAGTCACTTTCATGTCGGCAGGGCCGATATCTGCCGGGGTCTGAGCCGCGTGTGCCATCGCGGGCTTTCGGCTCGCCTTCTCGGCGTTGCAGGTGCGCTTGAACTGTGGTAAGGTCACGGAGGGCCGTTTTTCCGGAGAGGCTTGGCCGGCTCGATGCTCTGCTCGAGAAGCGGCCGCTGCTGTTCCACAGTTTTGGCACTCGGACGTCCACGACATGTGCTCGCCTATCTAATCGCAGCTCTAGACACCTTGACCTCGCGGTGCGGCCCGGCTTTGGTCTGCTGCCGTCCTAACTTTCGACGTGGTACATTCCAAATGTGCATCTGCTGCGATGAAGTTGGACGCCCTTGCATCGAGCAGAGAGCACGGCGGTGGACAGGTAGTAAGAAAAGGCGAGGGCGCACCAATGCAGCGAGGCATGAGTCAGGATTGAGGTAGGACGAGCGCTGGGTTTGAAATGCGGCCAAGCAGGATGTTTTGCGGCCAGCAGGCGCCAAGCAGAGACATGCCCGAGTCATTCACATTTCGTGATCACAACAGCTCTCGCGGCGTGTAGCAGTTGAGTCATAATTCGTGGGCGTTGACCTTTGGGGTCATGCGCCAGAATTCGCTGGGCGCTTGCTTGCGGGTCATCGCTTTCCGCGGCTGCTGATGACTATAAGAGACACACGCGAGAAGATGTTCCACTTCCTTTCCATTAGCCGACCAGCATTTGCAGTCAAAAGTCAGCACGACACGATTCACGAAACTCGATTAACTCTCGACTACTTCTGGCGGGCAATCTTGAATGGTGATGATGACTTTGTTTGATGTGTTGTTGTTTGGCGTTGAATCAAGTCAAGAGACCGAGTTCTTCGCTTGCGGATGCCTGTGGGGTGCGCGCATGGTCATCATTAATTAACCCACCAAACATTGTATATAGTAGTAGTCACGAGTAGTAGTATGAGTATAGTCTCGAGCTGAGTGTGCGCGCGCGGCTTCGCTGGCCGGCTGGGCAGCGGTGGGCCCAACAGGTGTCGAGGTACACGCGCCCGCATGGTCGGCTTACTTTTGACTGCGCGTTTAGCGCGTGTGCCGGCAAGCTTGCCATGCATGAGCAGCTTAATGTACGGTACTGTCTAATATACCTACAGTAGCTGCAGCATGCTGGCAGCTAGCCCATGGAATCAAGAATCAAGGGTTCCACACCCAAATTGAGTCTGCCGGCTGCCGGCTGCCGGCTGTCCGCTGCTTGCTTGCTTGCGGCGATCTCTATAGCTGATGCTGCTGCTGTGGATGAATCCTTCCTCTCTCCGTCCGCTTGGCCGACGCGCACGTTTGACCTTGCGGTGCAAGCCACCGCCCGGACATCGACAGAAACTGGTTTGAGTCGTCGAGCTTTCCCACAGCGCCGCCAATCCACCTTCGACTGTGCGGCTTCATGATTCTGCCCCATTTCACGCTCACAGATCGGACTTGTAGAGCTGAAGGTCCCCACTTGCAGTGACTGTGCGCCGTCGTCGCTCTCGACCCGCCAATAGCTGCACCCACCTTTTAAGCACGCCGCGAGGCAAGCTCGACAGCGTCATGCAAATGTCCGCTCGTCAGTGATCGGGTCAACAGCAAGGCAACAGCATCCCGAAAGCGATTCTAGACCCCTCTTGCCTCGGGACGTTCCAATCACGCTTAGCTCTTATCATCGCCGCGACGAGCATAGCTAAAGTGCCGCCTGCAACAAGGCCGGCGTCGCGGTCGGACGCTCTCGTCCCTCGACTTATCGATTGCGTGCGATTCGTAACGACCAGGCCGAGATGGCTTCAGATCAGCCAGAGGGTCAAGCTTCTGCAGAG